CCGCGCAGTAGTCGGATATGCGGGTAATACAGTTACGGTTACCCGAAAATACGTACTGTACGGTTAACCGATGAAACTCAGTTAACCGGTCGAACGCAGGATTATAATAAACATTACGATAATCGCCACTCTCGTCTATGCGAGCTGCATATTTTATTCCAGAAAACCGCGACGGGAAGGTAGAAACAGAAAATCGAAGATCTGTCGGAAAGCAGGACATCTCTTTAAGTAAAGCATCGTGAAAAGATTTCTCTAATTGCTGTTTTCTTATTTCTGATTGAACGAATTCGTTTTTATAAAAATTACAAAGCCAAATGAACGAACGAACTTCGATCATTTTCTGTCGAAATAGTTTGCAAAATGGTTTAGTCTGTGTAAGTGCAACGTTACGAAACTATTGCTACGTTTTATTTCTATTTTTATTAATTAACTGCTACGTTTCATTTGCGTCTGATTCATTTTTATGACGAGATTTTAAGTGTTCTTAGAATTTAGGCTAAAAGACGAAACGAACGTTGAGCACTGTTCATTAAAAATCTCTGTAACGAAACATTCGACTACTCGAAGCGTTTTTCGTTTATTATGTAAAATAATAATTATTATTATTTATTATGTAAAATATATTAATGTTAAATGAATAAGTAAATATTAGTAATAAAATTGTTCCTTTTATAAAATAAATTGTCCTTTAAACCCAATATTTATAACTCAGCCAACGAGCGCACGAAGCCCAGTTCCGCTCATTGGCTCGGCCATCGCGCGCCAGCCGAGCTCGCCTCTCATTGGTCGCTGCTTTTTCCTTAATAACTCGTAAACGAGTCCGCGGATCGCATTTTCGCTAAGAAAAAAGTTGCTTCGGATGACCTCGGGAAGTCCCCATTTCCGGAACGCGAGACATTTTTGGAACACCCTGCATAACCATGCCATGCAACTAGCTCCCGGAGCATCGTTATCTGCGTTAGCATGGATTTTCTATCGTCTCATCGTTTAATATCCCTCAAGGGCCTATGTAACTGGTATTCGCGGCTCGTCGTCCCGGATAAACGGCCGATCGAGCATGGTTTCGACGTAAGCTTCGGTATTTCGATCCGGCGACTTTGTACGTCAGATCGTTAAGCCGCATTAAAGTATCCGTTTTAGGCGGATAGAGGACGGCTTTTGAGTTCGAAACCGCGAATCACTTTCAATACGTTCCTTGAAACTCGCCCGATTCTCGGCGTTCGCAACTACGCCATCGCATGCAAACACGTACACACACACACACAAATACACACAGATACACACAGAGGTACACGCAAGAATAAACACAGTTTGGCAAGCGTTAGCGCGGATGATCGCTTATCGTTCTTAATAGACGTATATACAGCTCGATTTCATGCCGATCCCGAAGCTATTTTACCTTCCTCCAATCCTTTGAACTTTGATAAACGATGCAAACGACGTTCCTTGCAACATGAAAAGGCGCTATACTACACCCGGCGAAAGAGCTCTCGTTATGAAAAATACTTATCGTTGTAATTATTCATATGTTTTCGCGTGGAAAATCGTTTCCGTTAACGATAAAAGTAAATGCGGTGACACAGGCCGGCATTAACGGAGAACGCGAATGCGCGTTCGCCTTCTTTCGCGACGCAAGTGGGGAGGCCCGGGGTCGAATATAACGTAATTCGTAATCTTTAGTCGCAAAAGAGCACGTCGTGCGTAATCGCAGCCGAAGCGAACGCGCGTTCGTGTCGCGACGATGTAAATACGTAATTAACTGGCTCATGGTATAGAAGATCGTGGACGATCCTGAAAGGAACGTTGACGGATTACAAATTACAAACGGCAATGAATGGTGTGTTATTTAAGAAACTGAAGAGGATAATAATTTCAGGTGTGACGCGTTTACCGGTGACACGATTCAGTCGGTAAATTGCATACGATTATTTATCACTTTTATTTGTCCGTGAATCGTTGACGATATTTACGGCGTATTACTTTCCTCTGGAAGCTAATAATAACAACAACGTTCTCCGCGCAACTTTTTACAACTAATCGCGGACAATTTTGTAACGTTGTTGTAACCTAGTTTTCAATACGCGCTACTTTCTGCATGCACTCTGTGTGCAATACTTCGATGCAATATTTCATCGAATTCCTTTCAATCATTTCTACATGACGTCGAAGTAACGAACAGGGAGAAAGATGGAAACTTTGTTGTGTTTCCTGAACTGCGAATATTAATAACGCGCGCGCGAAATGTTCTTTTCGTGTATCTGCACGCGTGCACGAACTTCATAAACAATACGTAACTAGCCTTTTTATAGTATTTATAGTATTTACACGTTTTTTTTTAAATACTAGAAGACGCGCACATTAACAAACATATTATAAACACCTTATTTTTATCTTCAGGAATTTTGTAGTTCGTCAATTCGTTTTATGCCTCGATCTGGTTTTTGTAAAATAATCTATGAACAAAGATCTATTGTGTAACAATCTGGAGTCTAATTATTACTTTTCATTTCTTTATACGCGCAATTATTTCCGTTATTACTAATAAATTTAATAATAATAAATATTTCGTAATTGGAATAATAGCAGAATATGTTGTCTTGGCTGTTTCTGCTGAGAAGAATTAAAGGAAACGCTGTTAACTGCTATCGATGCACGGAACTTCTTGTCTTCTACGGATTTTGCTGATGCTGCATACGCTGCCGCGTCAGAAATCCGCGGTTGAATTATTAAATACGGCGCATTGAATGTTACCGGGATATAATGGCATATAATAAACTGCACGATATAATGCAACACTCTCATTCAAGTGCTTCAAATCATTAACTTTGCCCGCAAGTAGAGTGCCTTCCTGTTTCGAGAATATAGAGATTTATCTCCGGTGGGAACAGAGTTCCGTGAACGGCGTCGCAGTCAGAGTGTACGGAAATCGGTAAACGATTAAACCCAACAGCATTCGAGTAATGTAAGCTTAAGCTGCGAGAGATTTGATCAACCAGGAAATCCACATACATTCGGAACAACCCACTTTCTTGTTACTTTTTACTTAGGCTGTACGATCGGATTGCGAAACGTAACGATGCGCGAAACATTTGTATAAAAATCAATGTTAACGCGCGCCGAATTTCATAGTGTCTTTTAACCGTTTATTCTCGGCTGATTTTTCAACTAAACAAATTTTCTCTCAGCCGGAAAAAAACGCGTGGATAAGATACGTAATGATGTTTTCACCCATTTTTCCATTAAGGTCCAGAAATATTTAGCAAAAATCATAATTATTACAACCGAAATGGAACATTTGTTTCGTCATATCAGTTTTGATATTCGCATAAAAATATCCTAGGAAAAAGTATATTTAAAATAGGGAATTTCAATATTTAAAAATTGCCAAAATTGGAATTTAGGATCCCGGTGTGTAAAAGGAATTTATCATGAGCAGATTATTGACGTTCTTGGCATCAAAATGTTCTGAATGATCTAACGCATCGAATGTATATCTCAGAATTCCATATTTTTGCATTGCAATGGCGTCTTAAACAGTGAACTTTCTACGGGCATTGAAACAGACTCGGAAAATTTGAAGGGCATAAAAAAGAATCTAAGTGCATAGAAATGTTCAGGAGAGTTGACTGAATCGGCATGATGCCGAAAAACCTAACAAAAATCGCGTAACAAATAAATGTTAAACAAAATGTTACACCGCCCCTAAAAAATGAACGGCGACACCATCTAACGGTAAAATTTAGAAACACAATATTTAAAGAACTTAAATAACTCGAGTAATAGTGACTCTAAATTATAATGATCTTGATGTCATAATGTTCCTAATGACGTAATGCATCGAACGTATATCTCACAATCCTATAATTGTTGGTAGATATGGTTACTTAAAAAATAGGCTTTCCATGGGCAACGAAACGCAGTCGCCATCTAGCGGTGAAACACTCGAACTAAACTACCCGAATGATTGACAGTATGAATCAATTATAACTGCAGTAAATGTTAAATATTTTCATATTTTCAGTAATAGAAATACTTTCCTTATATATCACGGGTGCAGGAAATTCTGTTGGATATTGCTGCACCGTTAAAATATTTATTTCTATTTCAAATTGGCCTCTTTCACATTTTTTAAATTATAAATTTTTCTTTTCTTTTAAAAACTATAAAGGTAAAATTATGGGATTCCGAGATATCCGTTTAATGGGTTATATCATTAGGAATATTTTGAGACTAAAAACATTAATTTTTAAATACCGGTTTTCGAGATATTTACATTTTACTATTTCCTTAATTTCGAAGCTTCACCACCGTTTAATTTTTAGTCCTTGAACTGCTATTTTCTTACCTACAATTGAGATCATGTGAAAAAGTTAACAGAACTACGCTTTAAAATGAATATATTAACTTTTAAAAACGCTAATTAAAGCTAGATGATTGCACTTAATAATATAGGTCCATAGTTCCATAAATATTTGAATCTCGATTTGATTCAGAGGAAACCTGTGTAAAAAAATTTCTCTGCATATATGGAGAAGTAGAAGAATAATTCCAATAAATAGTTCAAAGATAAAGATAAAGAGAATACTATGTAATATTAACAAAATGTTTTTTATTTTGAATACATACATAGACAAGTATCTTTCTGAAAACTAGATGTCACTAAATAAAGGTTTAATGTTGAATTGAATTCAAAACAGAAATTTGAAAAATAGATGCAGGTAGGATTACTTTTTGTTTTGTAAAACAAAATCGTGTGAAAACAAATTAGAAATATGATATGTATGTATATGCACAGCAATTTACTATAAGCCTGACCATTAAGAAAGTGAAAGTCGAAAATTAAGTATACGTATCACCTACCATACAAATACATGAGAAAATGATATGACATAAAACATCCGTTGTTTCCACACTCTTCTTGCCCGCGTTGCTATACTTTTAACTTAGGGCACTGTACAAGGACAATCGGCCATGGCGGACAACAGATTGAAACATCCGTGTTAAGTTATTGCAACCATGTATTTCTAAAACTGAAAAGTTTCTTAATACGTGTACATGTATAAAATGCGATGGGACATACGAAGAAATGACTGTCGCATCAATTACAAATTGTTTGTATATTTGACTTTGCTAATAATAATGATAGTAGTAATCTTAATCATTAGAATCTTAATACACCGTATGATGATGATGGTCGTAATGACATACGGACTGATATAATCGTAACAATAATAGCAATCATAAACTACAGCAATAATAATTATCATAATATTACGAAATCATCACTACCATCTTTGGGAAATAATGTGCAAGACGATCCAAGTAAAGGTAATGGATGGAACATATAAGTAAGCACAAAGGAACCGAGAAATAAGGGGGCAGAGGGGGAGCAATGCGAAGATTCTTGCACAAAATTAATACGCGAATCTGGTTAAGGTAGTAATTAGTATTACTGTTTATAATATTAGTGTTCCTGTTATTTGTAAATAACCGTCCATACGTGTAGCCCATTCGTTTATTTCCACACACGCGCGCGCGCACTCTCAAAAAGTTCGCCACCCTTACGTATCTCCGTTCTTTCAGTATCAGCGTTTAATTAGAAATCTCGTTCTCATTCAAATGACAGTCTTTCGTTGCACTTACCGGACGTCCTCCTCTTTAAAACCTACCCGATACAATAAATGTACTTTGAATGCGCCATGTTAGTCGAAATATTGCAAACCATCAGAACGTTTCTAAATTAAACTACGTCTACCATTCAGAAGGATTCTCAGCAACTTTTTCTTTTTTTCTTTTTTTTTTAAGTAGGAAGCTCCATGAAACGCATGCTTGCGAACGGACAAACGTGTCACACTCTTCGTTTATTATCACATGCCGCGTCATGTATGTGTATTAGGGTGGACCTTATATTTCGACCATCGTATTCTTTTTATCGAGCAAAAGTATGATCCATGTGAAATTATTTGACAACAATAAAAAAATTTTCGTTTTTATAACTTGTTTTTATCAATGGTATACACTTGTTCATGCGCACGTTTATTTACGTAAGATCACTTTTTCGAAAATCATGACCTAGTTAGTTGACACAGAAAGAGATTAATCTTATAAAATGAGTAATACTACACTCTACGTACGTAGAAGACTATGTTTGTACAGACATTGAGTATTTAATTTCAGGAGATTCGAACAGATTCTGAATTCCCAACGAATTTTCAAAAGGTCCCGATGCTACGTAGTATTAAACTTATGCAAGAGTGTAATCGGTTGTTAAGACAAAAGATGAGGAAGAGAGACAATACATAGATATTGCGAATTGTTCCCAAAAACAAAAAAACAATACCCAGATACAACGAAATTTAAACTTTATTTAAAAGATATATGAAATGTTTTCCACTGAATCGATGAACAGAGTGAGAATATTAACGTATACCTTCCCAGTTATAAAACTACTTGTTGTACTGTGCATTGTACTATATGTATATTGCATATGGCATATGGCAGATATTATATCGTATATGGTGATGTATATTATATATGTTGAAAAAGAAAAATGGAAATGTCATCGTTATTACATGAAAAAATTTCTTACACAAAAATTATGCTATTTAACGAAGTGAATATAATTTCAACACATAGATCATGACTTTATGATTGTAATAGGTCATAAAATTTCTCTAAGTGATCTTACATTTTATTTATATATTCTCCAAGACCGTAAAAAAAAGTTCAATAATGTATAAACATGTATAACAACAATTTGGGACAATCGAGAAAAACGAATTACAAAAATTAATTTTCAAATTCTGCACGATTAGTTCACCTAATAACACAATCCTAGAGGATGTGTCCCAAAATAATGTGAGAATGCTAAGGTCCATCCTAATGTTTATACAAATAAAGTCTTCAAAAATTGAAAAATTGATTTCGATGATGCATTATTGCTATAAATTTGTCATGTCTCGAATAAACATAAATACGAATGATAATTGGTAAGTTCGACGATTGCTCGATTGGTTACCACGCCTACATATGATTATTACGCATAGACACGAATTATATTCGCCTGTCGAGTGTGATACAATATATAATTCATATTTATTTAAAATTTACACCATACTGACACATATAGACTTAAAAAAAATGTAATATAAATTCTATTACTGTTACAATGCAAATATCTTGAGAAATCTCCTTGGATTCCACGTCGAACAGTTCAAACTAAAATCAGCTTTAGCAGACAGTTCTGTGAAAAACGTCCATTCGTCGTGTAAACGTAAATCCTACAACGATGTACATGTTAATATGTGGTATGTACCCGTTCAGTTAATTAATCGTTCGGAGCGCTGACAACCTCTTTGAGCACATTACAATTTGTTCCTATGCTCTATAATAGTTACAAGTGACGTAATTCAAATGTAATCAGTCATAATATATATATCGATCAACAGGAGTGTTCTGTTACTTGCGAATTTTTCATTAAGTTTCTCAATACACAAAATAACGACCTCGCGGGATGAATAATATATTTCGATTCGCGTACGACTCGAATGTATAAAAAGGTAGGAAGAGGAAGACTATCCTTTTCCTGTGCGCATTGCCTTATTAAGTTATAAATTCTTTATAAAAGCCGAAGGCGCTTCTGGGGTCGCCTATGTTAATTGTCAAGAATAAACGACGCCATGACTACCAATACAAGCATACACCACAAAGTAGAGAGTGTAAAACAATCTTATGATACTATGTCTGTAAATACCTTAAAAATAAAAATGTTTTTTTTTGTCACCTTTCTGCTACACGTGTTGCAAAAGTCTCAATAAAAACGTATTACTTGCCGTTGACACACGACTCGAGGTCGTGTGTCCTCTACCGTCGTATCATCATCGCCGTGATCTCGAATCGCAGGAATCAACCGTACATGTCCTTTTCTATCGAGAACTATACAATTCGTAACATTAGCTGCTACTTTCCTCTTATCCTTAATTTGAATTATACCATTTCCAGTTCACTGTTACTTTCGCAATGCTTCATCCGCGAAAATAAAGTTACTCTACCGTTCAGAAGACTTCCATAACACAAATTTCGTGCCCTAATAATACGTAACTATAATTAACTGTATATATGAAGTAACCGCTTATAAGCATGTAGTTATTGCATCGAACGTACTTACGAGAAAGAAAAATATAATATTCAATTGAATTTAATTTAAAAAAAAAAACGTATTCATTACATACTCCACTGCTCCCACTTTCTCTTCCTCTCTTTCGTTTCTTCTCTCTCTCTCTCTCTCTCTCTCTCTCTCTCTCTCTCTCTCTCTCTCTCTCGCTCGCTCGCTCGCTCGCTCACTCTCTCACAAACACAACATGCACATATACGCGCGCGCGACTTTAATCTCTCTCTTTCTTTCTTTCTCTCTGTCTCTCTATAGTTCCACCTTCGGCACAAAACGCAAACACTCATTCATACTGCAATTTTGCTCGCGTGTCTGCACTTGGAGCTATCAAAACATTTTACGTAGTCTCAGTTATCATAAAAAAGTTTAGCTACTCATTAAAAACTTATTTCGGAAGGTCTTCGTGTTTGTACAGATCAAAGCATCGATATTGCACAATTTCTTGCGTCTACGACAATAGTATGGTATAATAATGTGATACTATTCCGAATCGTTAACGTTGACTACTTCGCCATTTACTTTCGAAGAAATTACTTTACTGCAGGAAAAATGTCAATTCAATACAATCCGCCTGTGATTATTTCTGGATAGCTATCATTGAACGCTTTTTCTCGAAATTGACCGGCCTTCCAATGTATAAGGTAGGGTTTGTAATGTTTTATAAGTACCGAAACAATGTCGAAAGAATAAATGAATCTTATTACAAAAGTGTCAAGGGAATTTTTGTGCATACTCTTCGTTCCTACTTACTTTCTTCTACGTAATGGGACACCGGTACAAGGGAGGAACCATCTTTTCTTAAAAAATCTGTGCTGTTTCATGCGCTTAGCCGTACTACGAAAGGTGTACGGTTAAAAAAGCACAGAAATTTCTTTACAAGAAGATTTACAAATGCTAGTGTCCCTTGCGTTCTCTGTAAAAACTGTCGGAGATGGTGCCGAGATTTCTTGCCATAGCTCTCGTTTCTATCAATTGATGTGCAATTACTCGAGCAAAAGTGTTGATACTGATCATAAAGGTCTTGTTCAGAGAAACAACGATGCTCGTTGTCGTGGTCGTGGTGGTAGTGGTAGTGGTGTCGATGACGATGGCGATGATGGTGATGATGATGGTGTCGGGTTCGGTGATGATGATGACGGAGGCGATGGTGATGGTGCCGGTGTCGATGGCGGTGATGATGACGGTAACGGTGACGATGACGATGATGACAACGACGATTGTAAGAAAATTGAGAATGACACTGATTATTATTATTATTATTATGATGCCGACTACGCTGAACAAATTTTTTCTCTCCCATGGCGTTGTTTAATCTTGGCAGTGAGAAACGAATTAACATGAATGTCGAAAATGCAGATCCTGATACACGCGGTTGATTTTCTGTTTTCGTTATACGTGTCGGTAATTTTACGGCCAGATCTGGCCTCATTCGGGATCACCAGTTAGCCATGCCAGGTTTATTTAATGTCATGAAGTAAATCTGACACGAACTTCCGCCTTTTGCTGACGAGAAAAATACCTGAAACGAGAAATTGTTTCTTTAGAAATATGCATAAATTGATATTTTGTTAAATTGAGACAATTTTCGAACAATAAACGTTCAGGTTTATTGGTTCAAACGAACCTTATCATTACGCTCGCAAAGGAACTTGAGCCGTTGAGCTTTCTTGTGCATGAATACACCGTCGAGGTGTCCACTTNTCTCTCTCTCTCTCTCTCTCTCTCTCGCTCGCTCGCTCGCTCGCTCACTCTCTCACAAACACAACATGCACATATACGCGCGCGCGACTTTAATCTCTCTCTTTCTTTCTTTCTCTCTGTCTCTCTATAGTTCCACCTTCGGCACAAAACGCAAACACTCATTCATACTGCAATTTTGCTCGCGTGTCTGCACTTGGAGCTATCAAAACATTTTACGTAGTCTCAGTTATCATAAAAAAGTTTAGCTACTCATTAAAAACTTATTTCGGAAGGTCTTCGTGTTTGTACAGATCAAAGCATCGATATTGCACAATTTCTTGCGTCTACGACAATAGTATGGTATAATAATGTGATACTATTCCGAATCGTTAACGTTGACTACTTCGCCATTTACTTTCGAAGAAATTACTTTACTGCAGGAAAAATGTCAATTCAATACAATCCGCCTGTGATTATTTCTGGATAGCTATCATTGAACGCTTTTTCTCGAAATTGACCGGCCTTCCAATGTATAAGGTAGGGTTTGTAATGTTTTATAAGTACCGAAACAATGTCGAAAGAATAAATGAATCTTATTACAAAAGTGTCAAGGGAATTTTTGTGCATACTCTTCGTTCCTACTTACTTTCTTCTACGTAATGGGACACCGGTACAAGGGAGGAACCATCTTTTCTTAAAAAATCTGTGCTGTTTCATGCGCTTAGCCGTACTACGAAAGGTGTACGGTTAAAAAAGCACAGAAATTTCTTTACAAGAAGATTTACAAATGCTAGTGTCCCTTGCGTTCTCTGTAAAAACTGTCGGAGATGGTGCCGAGATTTCTTGCCATAGCTCTCGTTTCTATCAATTGATGTGCAATTACTCGAGCAAAAGTGTTGATACTGATCATAAAGGTCTTGTTCAGAGAAACAACGATGCTCGTTGTCGTGGTCGTGGTGGTAGTGGTAGTGGTGTCGATGACGATGGCGATGATGGTGATGATGATGGTGTCGGGTTCGGTGATGATGATGACGGAGGCGATGGTGATGGTGCCGGTGTCGATGGCGGTGATGATGACGGTAACGGTGACGATGACGATGATGACAACGACGATTGTAAGAAAATTGAGAATGACACTGATTATTATTATTATTATTATGATGCCGACTACGCTGAACAAATTTTTTCTCTCCCATGGCGTTGTTTAATCTTGGCAGTGAGAAACGAATTAACATGAATGTCGAAAATGCAGATCCTGATACACGCGGTTGATTTTCTGTTTTCGTTATACGTGTCGGTAATTTTACGGCCAGATCTGGCCTCATTCGGGATCACCAGTTAGCCATGCCAGGTTTATTTAATGTCATGAAGTAAATCTGACACGAACTTCCGCCTTTTGCTGACGAGAAAAATACCTGAAACGAGAAATTGTTTCTTTAGAAATATGCATAAATTGATATTTTGTTAAATTGAGACAATTTTCGAACAATAAACGTTCAGGTTTATTGGTTCAAACGAACCTTATCATTACGCTCGCAAAGGAACTTGAGCCGTTGAGCTTTCTTGTGCATGAATACACCGTCGAGGTGTCCACTTTCTACGCTCCTAATCTCAATCGCCTTATTGCCCCAGCCCATTATTTGTCCCGTACCTATGTAAGCAACACTCGTGGGCATTTCACCCCACTGAAGGACCATTGTCTTGGAAACTCTACCGTAAGTGTTGACATATACACCTTCGTTATCGTAACACAGTAGTAACTGCATACCATTACTGTTTGGTAATGCAACGATGCAGTGTGGGCAAATAGGTCCCTGAGTCTGTAATAAAACAAAAAGCGTCGATAAAAGTATTTATCATATAAATGAAGGTATTTCTAACGAAAAAAATTGTATTGTATAATATATCATAAATGAACTAAACTAATTGAAGTTCGTGAAACAAGAAGAAATTTAACTCAATAAAATTGTACAAGCCTCAATGCGATCGGTGTTAAGTACTAGTTTGAGAATTATATAATTAAAGTGCTCTTACGTGTTTTGGCAAATAAATATCATAAACCGTAGCCGAATCCAAGTCAACGGCATGGAAACCATCAGCGCTGCCATAAATAACTTTCAACCTTGTGCCTTCTTCTATGGTAAGGTCAACAAGAAGCGGTCTATGCGCGAGCTCACCGAACGACTTAAACGCCATAAACTTATGGTAAGGCTTTGGCGCCCAGGCATAAATTTCTATGGAATCTTTCAGCGCAATAACGAGGAACTTTATTCTCTCGTATTTAACTATTTTGAAATGCACCGCTCCTTGAAGATCACCGACGTTGATCCAACCATTGCGCCGCTCCACTTGCTGAAATATAGAAATCAAAAATTGTTTAACTACTTCAATTAATATTATTGACAGTTTATCGGGGAAAAAATGAAAATCTTACGTCGCTGTGACCGTCGGTTCGTAGAATCTTACTCTTCAGCCAGGAAAGATAATATACCCGTACTCGATTCTTCTTTCCGCTAATCGTGACCAAAATGTTCTGACCTTCGAGGACTTCCATTTGTTGAAACCGTCTTCTGCTTATCAACTGATACACTTTACCCTGACCACTTCGATCTAATAGCATAAGGCCATTCTCGGTGCCAATTAATAGATTTACTCCTGCGAGAATCAAAATGCATTGAATCATGAAAGATTTTGCTGCATAATTGAAAGAAAATACACAATTACGTCAAAACTTCAATAACTTAATGATCCATTATTCGGCACTTCAATCAGACTACTATTAATCTTTTAAAATTTACAGAAAGATACTACTTTGTACACATTATAACTGTTTTTACTATTCGGAGAAATAGTTTTAAAAATGTTGAATAGATTAGCAAGATAACCAGATATCTTAGATAAATTATTTACAGATTTACTCTGAGTGAAATGCACAATCCAAATAATCATTTAGTTATAGTGATATCATTATAAAATGTTTTTAATAACAAATTTTAATTAAAAATAAGTAAAATAATATAAACTCATTTCCGCATTTTGGTTGCCCATACACGGTTTAACACTGAACTTACCGAGCAGTAAATGTGACTGATATATATATTGTTTCATAACGATGGCGAGACTAAATGTATTCAGACTTTTCACCATTTTCATTAAAATGTTTACTTGCATTAAAATATGAACGCAATCATTTTCTATGAAAGAGTCTTTCTAATTTCAACGACTTTAAAGTGTAAAATGTGCAACCAGTCATTTTGACCAACTGAGTATGCTTAGTGTTAATGACTGATGAAATGGTAAACACGATGTCCCAGCGAGATTCCTATGGTATGCCTACCCCACAGCGCAGCGCAGAGTATCTCGCTGTTGAAACGTTTCTTGTATTTGCGAATCTCAGGTGTATCGGACGCAAGATCGTGGCTGGTCGGTGTCACGTTAACGTTCACATGTGACTCCCTCCTGGCCGGTCCAGCACCGAAACCGAAGGTCAGGAATGATCTCTGCTTCTGTTGGAGCGCAAACGGGGGTGGTGATTTAACCGCTTGCCGATACTGCAACGAAAAATCACTTTCAGTCTCGCGCATGGGCGTCTCGCGGACCAGAAATTAGAGGCTATCGAGGATGGTGTGTATGTTACTGTAAAACCAACAAATACGAAACAAACAGAGTGATGGTAAATCGATAGACAGCGTTGGTGAATCGAGAAGAAATTAAAGGGAACAGAAAAGTATGTATGAAGTGTCGCATGCAGAACGAGAGAAGTAAACGGAACCGAACACGAGTCAACTGTAGAAGAGTAGAACAGAAAACGTTGCAACGATAAAATCATACACAATATATTACCACAAACAAATTGTTACACGAACAGAAAAACTTTGGTACGGGACTACACGGACCGGGTGCAAGAGACAAAACAAAAACACACAAGCTGAAGCACAAAATCAACTTTTTTTCGCTAAGAGTCGTGACAAATCTTGGAAAAATCAACGGTATATTTCTGATCTATTCGGAGCACCAATGAGTAATCTTTTCGAAACTCTCTTAACGTGAACTATGCAAATTAACGCATTGTGGACGGTACGCTTGAAAACTATTATAAATTAGGCAATAGTAATTATTTAGACTGCGGTCTTTATGCGTTTGTAACAAAAATTAGTTGATCGATCTCAAGACAATGACAATATTTAAAGAATTTAAAAACATTATTATACTATTAACAAATCATTAAAATTATTAAAGAAATAATTGCGACTAATGCAGACAATTTTCAGTTCGCATAAAAATCCGCAGTTTAGATATTGTATTAAAAAAATGTTTAGAATTTATTCATTCACCCTTATGGAAACAATCGTCTACAATATGTTAGATCTAATGATAACGATAATTATCTATGAATGAAACAATAGCGGATTACTCATCGGTGCAGCCAGCGTTAATAAATGTATTTCAAACGTCCAGGAGTTTCTCGTGAGATTTATTTTCTTCCTCCTACGTGTCAATAGGTAAGTAAGTAAGAGAAGTACGAGATTGTACAGAGCGTGATCCAACAAAGTATAAAATCTCGATCGTGCTGGGAAGTTCGTTCACTGATACCAAAACAAGAGAGCCCAGAAACCAAAAGTAAGGTGGACAGAGTGGCATTCAGGAGATCGACATTCCTCGCGGTATATTACTCGAACGAAGAGATCGAAGAGTTAAGACAGACAGAGAAAAAAAGAGAGTTAGGGGAGTTCGTTGTGTTGCTTGTTTTCAATATTATTGTTTGTTTTGTTTTTTGTATATATATATATTTTTTTTCGTCTATATTATGTCAGGAACATTCTCATGAGAGGAGACAAAGCGACACTGAAGTATAAATGGATAAATGAATACTTACATTGCAATTAGTATTGGGATTGGGATGGTCAGTAGATAGGGCCCTGCCCTTCGGATTAGAGCTCCCACGTGTCCCACAACACACAACAGAATCCTGAATTAGTCACGCTGACAAACGCATTGTGACCGCTTTCGCGGATTCTCGCAATATACAGAGGGACGCAATGCGTAAACTATTCGCAATTAATTAAACAGTGCGGATCGCTGTCGGCACGGTTGTCTCGTGCCAAGTTTTTGAATGTTTTCGATGGTTCAACGCATACTTGGACTTCGAACTTTTAACGAGCCGTGTTACCTTTCTCGCATCTCTGACACTGAACACGAATTAGCAAATTCTTCTTTCCGGCTATGTGCAATCTATGAAACTCTTCTTTTTGAACGGGAATTCTCTGGCTATTATTTTACATATTTCTGAATCGCTTTAAGATCTACGTTGGTACAAATAGCTCATGATTTCAAGTGGCTACTGGAACAGGATTTAATTGGAACTAATCTGTAACTCTACGTCAAAGTGGAATCAATTGAGCCATCCGAGAGTTAAATGTAATAACTATGCAGATATTTATTTATATTTATCAAAGAAGTTGATAAGAAATTACAGTTGATCTTTAAATAATGTAGAATTATGCGAATCTATTATTGATGGAACAGTAAAAAAAATGCATTAATTGCACGTAGGGAAAAGAAGACTTTTATATCCGGTGCACAGAGATTTATAAGGAACGTCTTTTAAAAGTTGGAAAGTCAAAGGAAAGTAAAATTGTTATTAATTAAGTCGCATTCTCACCGGATTCTTGGCTCTGCAACATTGTTTTCCTTCAAGTTTTATAGAACTCCATATTAAAATGTAACAGTAGTCAAGTGGTGCGGACACGACTTTACATAACGTGAATTTTTCTAGTCCACTTAAAATTGCATACATCAGTTTTTTGTATCAATAAAATCTGATGCGACATCTTTAATGTTACTTGCATTTATGATACTGGAATGTGGATAGTAAACGAGATCTATCTAATTGCGAGAAATACTATGTCGATTATTGAATTGGTAAAACGATATCAATTTGCATACTAAACGAGATAATTGTTAACAATAGAATGCTTTTAATCGATCTGGATGGCCTCTTCCACTAGCAATCGATCTAGTCGTGGATAAATCGAAGAAGAATTCAATTTGGTTCGTGGCAGAATTTCGATAAAATTCTTTTCAAAATTAGTTCTGCCGTGAAAATAAAAAATGTAGAACACGAGAAATAAACTGCCAACTATCTATATACAAATTCAAATTGTTGACTATAAAAATCGCTAAGAAATTATGATGAACAAATTGTCGGACAAAGATAGAAGAACAAATTATTAAAGATCGAAATTGAATAAGCAATCAATCACAGAAGACTGCATACACTGAAACAAAGCTTTCGAACGTTTTGTGGCCACGAATTACTATATTAGTTGTTATTAAACAGATCAGTAAATAAAAGAAATTATTTTTTGGAAAACTATATCAGTGACAATTTTAATAAATCCTTATATGTTTTTCATTTTTTTCAATTGATTTATAGTTTGACTATATACATAAAATTTCATAATTTTAGATAAACGAAACTGTGATAAAAAAGAAACGTCGTCATTTTGTAGAATCTATTTGTTTAAAAACTATCAAGTTAATTGACGTCTGTGAAATACGCAAAAGCTTTTATATCGTGTCATTTTTACAACTGTATGTAGACTTTTGTAACTGCGCTTAAAATTCATTACGAAACGAAACTGTAATATCAGTGAATGTGACGATAAAATCAACATTCTAAAATGAATAAAATCGTTTTTCATTCGTATACCAATAGCGATCGTTTCTCTACCGCTGCTTTTGTTCTCCGACGAACCGACTACATAACGACCAATGTTATCGCAAAATAGAAAAGTCCTTTGTAAAATTCCGAATTAAATTTCCTCGACGTTGTTGACTCCTACGCACGTTTCCTCGATGCTGATTACCTGTCGAGGAAACTACCTGTACGTGAGATATAAATAAATGATCGTCGAGGCCTCGACGATTGTCGTGAAACCATTGACATCTCTTTAAATTAACGACACTCTACACGTCTACGTATACATATAATACATATGTATGTTGCTCGGGCTGACTGCACTAAAACGATCATCACAAGATCCGATCATCACAGAATACTATACTGTATATATTCGCTTTAGTAAGTTGTCAGACGTAGAAGACTATAAAGCAAAGCATTCACAAGGTACTTAACACAAAGCAAGAGGCGTCCTATGTGTAAACCCTTCAACTTGACAATCAGCATTATTGCACGTTTCTTTCGTTAATCATGTCTTTTTCTTTCGCAACTTCTTGTGAAACGATTTACTGAATCGTGTTTAGCGATGAATGCAAAAGTCCGATCAAGTTCGCGGGTAAACACAGTAACATACACGGTACATATCTACGCACGTATTTATTGGCTTCGTTCATCGAACCGTGGACTCTGACTATGCTGCCATTAATTCACCTAATTGATTTCCCTATTCGTTATAGGAAAACTCGTTTATCTCAATTTCATTCGTTCGAACTCCATTTATCTGAATGTCAATTACCTGCAACTTCCATTTCTTTCGATTCCATTTACTTGGATCTGTACGTTTCAATTATATAAACAACATAAAACTTAATTACGTTCGATGCACAATTACACAATTTATCGTGTCGGGAAAATGTTAACTGATCGATAAAACGTTAATGAATCGAACTATTTACCGAAACTAGACTGTTGCAAATTTATTCATTTATCTGTTACGTTCTCGATATTATCTATTAAACTGCAAAATGTTATATCGATCTACATTGTCATAGAGACTTCGTAACTAATGTGAATGTAAATAAATATTGATTTGCAAACTTAATAATTTGATACCTTGCATTATGTATAAACGTTAACAAATGAATAAAGTCAGTGTAAAAAAGGCAATTTTTTAAATCCAAGTATATGAGATAATAATCTCCGAATGGGAGCATATAAATGGAGTTTCGTTCTACTATTTGTGCGCTTATTTAAATCATACCTAACCAATAGAAACGGATAGATTACGTTTTGTACAATTAGACTCAAGGCAATTTTATCATGCAAAAATAAGTTAAAAATGTCAAACACACTTTTTCATATGAAGCTTCGTGTTCGAAAGTATCAATCCTGATTACCTGTGCTTTCAGATACCGGTTAGCTAACATTTGTCTGGCCAATGCTTTCTATATCTACTAACAAAATATAAAGACGATAGTGGCAAAACAAGAGTGAAACAGTAATGATACAGCGCTACTACAAATAAAAATTAAAATATCTGATTAGAAAAGAAATTATTTACATATTTATTACAAGAATAAATAAATATTGAAATATATGAAAAATTAATAATATTAGTAATTTTGAGAACATATCAGAGTTCAAGTTAATTTTTATCAAAAAATATTACAACTTTACTTTCTGAACAAGAAATATGACTAGGAATCAGTTTTCTTTCCTTTATTATTATTATTATATCAATATCTTCCTTAGATGAAAACGATTACTTCATTTTATTGTTCTCGCACTTAATTAACACATTCTTTGCGAGAACTACATTAATATTATTATTATTATTATTATTGCCTGTATTCCGTAATATCACAAGATATGAACTATCCACCAACATATTAAAATTAAATCGTCGTAAATGCAATATATTTGAAAGATCTAACAGAAAAAAGAAGACAAAAAAAAATTAAATCATCGATCAAATGCCTTCTGTCAGATATAACAAAAGCGATTAATAATAATAGAAGCGTGTGCAAAAGCATACTCAAACACAGGCTCGTTGTGGAAATTTTTAAATTCGGTATCGCAGAAAGATAAGCTTCGTATGAAAAAATGTATTGCAAATTTTTTCCTTTGTTCTCGCTCGTAGAATTGCTTCCTATTCGACAGTACCTCTCGTCTTACCCCACCCTGCAGAGAATAAACAATTCAGTGTCATCGGCGTTCTATAAATAGTGAACGCTTCGAAGGGTTCAAATCGATAAGCGCAGCCAATAACTGAATATATAGATGATGATGATCAGAAGATCGTATATCTCGATCAAGACACATATTGTATTTATATTGAAGTGCCATGAAAAAAAAACAGAATAGAGGGAAAGGGATGAGACGTATTGCAGAAGAAGGGGAGCGCTCGCGCTATTTGAATTCAGATGCGTATTCCCTCCTTATAAGCTCAGTACTGGCAACGTGATTAGAGAGAACAATGGAAATCGAAGCTGCCAACACTATTTTGACTGATAACATTTCACCGAAGCCAGAGTAATTTGTTTTTGATACAAGAAATTTTATGATAATCTTTAAATTCTATTTATAATCATCATAAGATAATACAGGATATTGTAGAAATTATTATATCGTATAACATTTGATTTACTACTTTATATATATTTCCACTGTAACTTAATTTGTATACTATCGTGTTAAAAACGACGAAAAATTTGCATTGATTATTGCAATAAAAATAATGTGTTTCACTTAAAAAATTAACGACCGCAACATGCTTGAAATGACGAGCTTGAAACAGAATTTTTATCATAAAAAAATATACTTTTTCATGTTATTAAAAGTAATTTTAGCTCCGCATTTTTTAAAGTCGTCATTACTTAATATTTTTATGCAGATGAATTTTGTCAATGCACTGGTAAATTCCTATCAATCAAACAGTGTGCAAAAGCTGTGTCGATGATTTCCATTGCTTCCATTGCTTCCTACCTCTTCCCTAGCAAAGCTTGCTTATTGGCAAGTATGTAGCTCCATGGTGGGAATGGCAAAGTGATTACAAGAAGATTGCCAAAGCGTGCTTATAGGGAAAGAATACGATATATCGCAAAAGACGATGATCTTTTTAAAATGTTCGATGTCGTGTGAACCATTGCTGGTGATCACTGTGATTCGTTTGGCATTCTTTGTCATTAAAATTAACACGGTCATGTAATGTACTGCCAGTTGATGTGTACAGGCTGATTCATTGATTGCTTTCGATTGAATGCAAATTTTCAGCGGCTCGGTGTTGTTCTTAATAATAACCGCAATGCGAATGAGTGAAACAGATAACTATTTGTGTTTAAGAAAAAGGTGTCACACTGTATAAATAATTTGTACATGGAGGCGTAACGAGAACTTTGAAAATATCTATACTATGGCTAGAGAGAAATAGTTATGCAAGGCAAGGGATCTCAAATAGAAGAAAACGTGTCAGAGAAAATATCAACAAAACTTTGGCGGAAAGTAGAAATCATAGAGTTTTAATCATACTAATTTGTGTCAAAATCATGGTACAATAAAAAGGATTGATTTTATGTGAAAAAATAAATAATTCAAGTACATATAACACGAGATTGTTGTCTCGAATTAATTAATATCAACATTTTTCAAAGCTGTATCTGGCCATTGCTCGATACTTCTACTTGCTACCAAATTTCTGACTAACTATAATCAAATTCCATCATCTTTTTTATTTTAAAGAATCTTCCCAGAGAATCTTTTCATTTCTAAACTGTTCGAATATGCATATGTAAAAAAGAAAAAATTATAATAAAACGATTAATTTTATCTTATATTGTATAATAATGCTCTGAATATTTTTTTTGAAAATGTGATTGTCAATTTCCGATTTTATCTTATGTTATTATAAGTATTACGCTATAAATCTTGTTATATCATAGTTATACCAACAAGTGTACATCAAAATGATAGCTGGCTGATTGGGGCTACCGTGGTCGCAAAAATTCATAAACCAAAATCTAAGTAGAAGTAACGAGTAACGCACTGAGAATCTTGGACAGTCCGCTAGAAAATATTGCACAATCCAAGCTTCAATATCAACAATCAACTTTTCGTCGAACGATACAACTAAGTGCCATAGAAGAGAATTCTAATTCGTCCCTTACCAGTGCAAGGAAGGAAATCAAAACTAAAAAAAAAACTAGAAATAAAACAAGAGTATGCCACGAGACAGAGAATAGGAAGTTGAAACATGAAAGTGTAACATACAATCAGAATCGACGGTACTCTATGAAAACACACTCCATAAAACTGATCATCCCTATTCACTACTATAAACAACTAGGTTCGCAATGATCATGTACCTCTATATGCACTGTACATTACATGATTACTTACGTGACAATGTAGTCATTCTTTCACAAAAATTGTACCAAACGCAAAAAACGAACAAAACTGTAAAAATTACAAGTTCCAATGCCGTGAGCTCAACGACACGGGTCACCAGTGATCCACGTGGCATCGAACGTGGTATTGAACGGGTCTAAATATGTATGCAAGTATGTGCTTTCGCGTCTACGTACGAAAGAGAGAGAGAGAGAGAAAGAGAGAAAAGAGAAAGAGAGAGAGAAAGAGAGAAGATGAGAAAGATTGTTGTACATCTAACCTCCTCACTGGTGGACTTGTCCTGTCGCTGGCTCGGCGATGATGTTAATAGATCCGGAAGGACTGAGCTGGGCCTAGATCCGGGGGATGAATCCGATCTCTGGAAGTCACCCCCACCGCCCCCGCCTCGCGGCCGGTCGCCACCTTCACGGTTCTGAAAAGCAATCGTCCGGCAATTGAAACAGTCGTTGAGACGGCAAATCAGACCGGGCAGCTAGTAAGATCTGTCGAAGGATGAAGACCTGAACTTCTTTTTAATCATTGATTGTTTCAATCCTTAATGGTCAACATAAGCTCATATTGTAAATTCATACACAACGTAACAAGTAAATAAATGATTTCTAGTTATGTCAGGAGATATCAAATTATGCTGGAAATTATCTTAGTGGAATTGATTATGAATGAATAATTTGATCAATAATGAGTGTTGAATAAGGTAAAAAAAAGAAAAATCTGTTCAGATTTCTAGTGGTATGTTATGCAGAACAATTATATGAAGCAACTGAATAATCGTATTATTTTTGTATCGTGAAGTCTGAAATAATTTGTTTTGAGAATATGAATGTTGAATAAATTAAATATAAAAAAGAGTAATGTTTGTAAAATGGCATTGTATTAGTTTTAATGTTAATGATGTTCTATTTTGAGTGTGACATTGTATAGAAATAAGTAATTTATTTATTATAACTTCAGCTATTTTCTTTCTGAAAACGGATAATAGTGTTGTCAGTTGTAAAAATATTTCATAATCATAATTGTTCGTTGTGCTTGGTAATATTGTGAAGAAATAAATGTTCCGTTTACATTGAAATCTTATAATAAATTAGTGTTAGAAGTTGTAAAAAACAAACAATATATAATATACANAACATAAGCTCATATTGTAAATTCATACACAACGTAACAAGTAAATAAATGATTTCTAGTTATGTCAGGAGATATCAAATTATGCTGGAAATTATCTTAGTGGAATTGATTATGAATGAATAATTTGATCAATAATGAGTGTTGAATAAGGTAAAAAAAAGAAAAATCTGTTCAGATTTCTAGTGGTATGTTATGCAGAACAATTATATGAAGCAACTGAATAATCGTATTATTTTTGTATCGTGAAGTCTGAAATAATTTGTTTTGAGAATATGAATGTTGAATAAATTAAATATAAAAAAGAGTAATGTTTGTAAAATGGCATTGTATTAGTTTTAATGTTAATGATGTTCTATTTTGAGTGTGACATTGTATAGAAATAAGTAATTTATTTATGATGACTTCAGCTATTTTCTTTCTGAAAACGGATAATAGTGTTGTCAGTTGTAAAAATATTTCATAATCATAATTGTTCGTTGTGCTTGGTAATATTGTGAAGAAATAAATGTTCCGTTTACATTGAAATCTTATAATAAATTAGTGTTAGAAGTTGTAAAAAACAAACAATATATAATATACA